ATAATTGTCAACATTCTTGAGATTCAGAACTGTGTTATTCTGAAAGGTGTCATCAGATACCCAGGGAGTTAGGGAATGAGTCCATGTGTGCATACTGTTTAATTATGGTTCATAAACGGAACCCTAAGGACATCCATTATAGATGCTAATTAACAAGAGACAGAGAAATGATAGAGATAACGATGATAGAGATAGAGGGAGATAGAGATAGAGAGAGATAGAGATAGAGATGCTAGAGGTAGAGATGCTAGAGATAGAGATGCTAGAGATAAAGATGACAGAGACAAAGATGACAGAGATAGAGATAGCAGAGATAGAAATGATGAGAGAGAGCTAGAGATGACAGAGTGCAGGTATAAAAGAATTGAAAAAATTAGGCACAGCCACCCCCAAAAGTCTCAGTTGCAGTGAACATTCTCAAGTGGGTTCCCCACAACCCACCTGGAACCCCATGATTCACGTACTGTTCCCATCCTTCCAAGCCTTCCTTCCCTGTACACATTCGCTTCTGTACCCGCCGCATGGAAACTGAACGCTCACCCCTTCCCGCCCCGGCCGGGGGTCCCTCTGCCACCACAGCACTGGGCATCTGGGACTAAAACCTACGCATCATTTTGCATCTTCTTGCATAAAATGAGTGATATTCAAAGGACAATTAGCATCTCCCTCCTCCTCAAGGAAATATAAAAAAGAGGCATTCAACCATTTCCTGGTGACTATCTTTCTGACATTTGAGGGGGAAAACAGTACTAGCTTCTGCTTCATTTTCTCCTCCTCTCGGGAGCCTGTCAGTACAGTGCGGTGGGCTCTGTTCCCAGGGGCCACATTATGAAATGGGAGCATTTCAGTTGTAAAGCTGAAAGCTGCTCTTCACAGGGGCCGTGTGACCAGAGACCCGGTTCGACTAGCAGGAGCGTATCACAGGGTTTCCGACGACAATAGTATTTTCACTGCCAAGGTCATTTAGCTTTAACTGCGTTTAATAAATCCCCTTTTATGATGATGGATATTTATTCGTAGTCACAGTACCATACATACCTGTTTTACTTAAGCGGATGTGTTCAGTAACAGATATCTCTATTTACAATTAAGATTATATTAGACATTTCCAGCATGTCCCATTGGAAAAGACTTTGATCTTCAATTTCAATGTATGTGAGGACAATGTCCCACATTTCTGTTTCCTCACCTCTCTCCTCTCTCGTGTAAATCAATATCTTGTTAAATTCAGATTCAAACACACTTCTTTCAAGTCTCACAACAAAACCTTTCCGAGAATGAGGCCGGGTATGACAGGGATAGAGGAAAAGAATGAAGGAGAGAATGTTCCTCAGACGCCATGGCCTGTTCTCTGTCTGTCCCTCAAAGCACAGCGTCAGCCCGATCCCAGTGCCGCCCCCTTGTGCTTTCCTGTCCTTTGTAACGTCAGGGGCTGGGCAGCAGGGCCGGGCCAGGGTGCAGGCAGGCGCCCCGGGGATGGGAGGTGGGCGGCAGGAAGGTGTGTCCCAGGACCTGCAGCCAGCTGTCCCCATCCGCACGACCCCGTGTGCGCAAACGCACAGCCAGCCTCGGTCTCCGCCCGATCCGGAGCAGGAGTGCCTGGGCAGCCCTGTCTATGACTGACATGTGCGCAGGTTCCATGCGGCCACGGCTTAAAAAGAGCCACAGCAGACGAGTCTGAGGTGAGAGTTATAACGCGGGTTAGAGAGCAGCATCCGGAGCCGAAGAGATGCGCTTTGCTGGTCCCGTCGCTTCCCTGAACTTGCACGTTCTCAGCACAGAGCGGTGGTAACAAGGCCTTTCCTGCCGGGTCCGCGTGACAATTCGAGGTAATGTACCCAGAGCCCTTCACAGGAGGCTGGCGGCGTCTGGGAAGTAAAGGAGGCAGCCATTACTGCCCACAGCTGTACTAGTATCTACATCTGCAGTGTTGTGTGTCTGTTATCACGTGATATTACATACAAAGGTGGCAGTCCTGTGTGAATGACCATGTAGCGGTACTGCAGGGGCTTGAGTGTGTTGTGTCCGTTGTTGGGGGACTCGGCCTGTGAGTGAGGTGGCCTCTGGTCCCCCAGTGGCGACCCCCCTCTGTCTCACAGGACCGTCACTCGCTGGTTGCCAAAGGCCAGGTAGGTGGCCACATGGGGTTCACTCACGGGCCACTGGGTTTCGAATCCACCCCTTCCTGCCATAACCTCCGGGCTCGGACCCGTGCCGATGTTTGGGGGAGGGTCATGGTTACAAAGGGAGCCTGCGTGTGAGTGGCAGGGCTTACCAGATCGGGGTGCGGGTGGGAGACCCACACATGTGTGGCAGCTTGCGGCCTTGTTCCCCTTCCTCCGAACTGCGAATCGGGGTGTCTAACTCAGGGCGCCTCCGAGGGACTGCTTTGGGGCGAAAGAGAGCGAAGAGCTTCCAGAACAGCAATTTCTCCTTCCCCTGTCCGTCCACAAGTGCTGTTAACAGTCGCATAAAATTAAGGCAACAGGAACGTTCAGTTTACAGCCTTCAGAGACGAGCGCAAAGTTGAGGGCAGGCATTGCACATGAGAAGCGGGGGCCGGGGAACGGCCCCGAACGTGGCCAGCTGCCATGCGGGCTCCGGGCGGGGGCTGCCGGTGGCCCTGTCGTGGCCCTGTTTCTCCGGGTGGGCCTCGCGGTGGGTCCTGCGAGTATCAGCGGCTCCGACAGTAGCGTGTTGACGTCATGGAATATGCATGGGTAATCATGACACGGCATGTTCCCGTGTATGGGAATCAAATAGTCTTAGACTTCCTAGCGTAGCCCTGGGACATAGGCCTCTAGAGGTTAGTAAAAGCCCATAGAAACGATGGTAAACTTTTAAACTTCAGTTCAGACACATTAAAACATAGAGAATCCTAGTCCTGTGGGTTTAAAACTCTACAGGTGTTCATTTTAATCTGCAAATAAAGGTTGTGTTAATGGAAAAGAACGTCTCTAGGAGCGTTGTTGCTGCTGCATCCTTTATCCCTTTCTGTTGCTGTGCAGTATTCCACTGTAGAAATATCCTGCGATTTGTGTATCCGTTTTACTGTGGGTGAACAGTGGGCTGCTTAGTTTGAGGTTATTAAGGATAAAGGTTCTATAAACATCAAAGAAACAAAGAGGTAATGAGAATGTGCCAAATTTACAAAATTTTAGAATATCTGTATCAGTTCTTTGACCCTGAAATTCAATAAAAAATAGAAACAATTATTTTAAAGGAACTTGTGTGAGAACCTAAGTGCTCTTGGTCAATGGGGTTTAAGTCCTCCTAGATATTTCCGATTCTGCGGGACCTGTGCTCACGGCCCTTACAATGCTGATGAAGTTTGCAGAGCTGATGGTTTACCCAAAAATCTGTAGTTTTTCTGTTTCGTAATTGACTTGTATACAGGCTATTTCCAGAGCTTTCCATTTAATTTTGCAATCAAGCCTTATTCTCCATGGAATTCTGTACAATTTTGAGTCTATGGATTGACATTTTAGAAATTTACTTCAAAATTCTTTTGAAGTCATTAGGTTATTAGGTTTGGAAGCATCTGGGTGCTTATTTGGGATGAGGCGTGTGGAGGAAGGTGCTAGAACTCCCGCCTGCGCTTCCTGAACGTGAGGAGGGAGTGACCGTGTATGATTGCGTGTCTCCCAGCTCCTCCTCTGCTCGGACGTGACCAGTTGACTAACAGTTAGAGGAACTACAAACTTCTCAAAAGCCTTGATGTCTATCAATAAATACCCAAACCGGTAAAAACAAAGATTAAAATAGGAGAATTACGGGCAAGTATCCTGCTATTATGGCTCAGCTACCTCCTTGTTTGTAGAAACGTTACTGTGACATCATTCATGTTTCGGTGTGTGGTAAAGAGAACTTCAAGGAGCAAGAGATAAATTAAAGGTGAAATGTAGGTATTTGGGAGGAAGCAGAGGCGGGGCCTCAGTAAGTCCCGAATGGA